AAAAAAAAAAAAAAAAAAAACTGAAGAAGGCCTAAGATTCATGTTGGACAGCATGAAGAGGAATAACTTAAGAATTATCAGCATTCCAGAACAGGAAGAATCACACAAATCCACAGAGGAGATAGTTGAAGAGATTCTGGAATAAAACTTCACTAACATCCTGAAAAGTGAAAAGATAAGCATTCAAGAAGCTCAACGAACCCCAAGGAAGAATAGACCCTAATAGAAAATCACCAAGATATACTAATCAAGCTTTCCAAAATCAAAGATAAGGACAGAATCCTGAGAGCAGCTAGGGAAAAGAGAAGTGTAATATATAAAGGCAAGCAAATCAGATTAAGCTTGGATCTCTCAACAGAAACTATGCAGGCAAGAAGGCAATGGGGAGACATATATAAAGCCCTGAAAGAAAAATACTGCCAACCAAGAATCCTCTACCCAACAAAGCTGTCAATCAAATACGATGGTGTAATCAAAACATTCCAGGATAAACAGAAGCTAAGGGATTTTGCAAACACCAACCCTGCTATGAAAAACATCCTAAAAGAAGTTCTGTGGACTGAGAACCAACAAGAACAGGCAACAACCAGAGAATGAAGTACATGGCAGCATCACCCTGAACTAAATCAACAAATGGAAGAGTCAAGAACAGAATAAAATTATAAGAACAGAGGATCTGGGAAGTCAGTCTATGATCAAAACAATTCCAATGTGAAAGAAGGTAAACACAGAGGAACAGAGGATCCAGGTGGTGGGAAGGTCAGGTAGATTACAGGATAAAATAGACTATCTTAAATGGAGGGAAGAGTTAATGGAATATAAGGTAATCATTATAACTATTATAAGGTAATAGTAATATAAGTAATTATATATATATACATATATATATAATCCTGTGAGGCAAACATAATAGTAATAATACTAAAAATGAATCCTAAAATGGAACTTTCACCTACATTAATTCCTTAGAGCTTTATAGCAAGCCCATGAGGTACTGATTTAAATATCTCCATTTTACAGACAAAATAGACTCACTGTCAGCTCTGAACTCAAGGCTGAATTCTCACTATTATTATTCCTCATTCTCAGTGTTATCGCATATTTTCCTATGTTACACTTCCTTGACCACACACACACAAAAAATCAGCCTTCTAAATTAGACATGAGTAAATTGGGGTCCTGTTATGGTGCTTTAAGATAAGCACTGGACTGCTAACTCTAAGGTCTTTGGTTCAAACCCACTAATCATTCCTCGGAAATCCTTTACAGAGTCACTATGAGTCAGGACCAACTTGCCCGTACTTAACAACAAAAAAGTCAGAATTTTTTGAAAAATGTTTCCACTCTCTTTAAAAAAATAGTCAAAAGATTTTTGTTATTCATTTTTCACAAGAGAGAAAAGTTTCTCTTCTATAAAATAATGTAAACATCATCTGTTTTTGAACTCTTCCACAAAAGATCATATGGTGGAACTTTAGCAGCACTGCCATCCATAGCTTTTTCAAAGCCTGCTGATCGGTTGCACATTTTTCTCAACAACTAATAAAGTGGTTTCAAATAAAACTTCCTTACAACGTCAAATATTTTATATCATTATGCAGTACCTTAATCCTCACTTTTAAAAGCTGTCAAGTGCGCATTTTACCTTATCATAACGTTCCTTTTGAAAATATCTCGTTACCTTTAGTTTTAAATATCAGAATCAGAAACTTAAAAAGTGTCAGTCAAAAAGTGTTTTGTTGTTCATAAACAAATACTATTGCTATGCATACCTTAGGAAATCCATTTCTGAGGAAGGGAAAAGTGGGTGCGGAAACCAGTCATTTCTCTGCAGCCCCAATAGGCTAGAAATGAGTAGGTGGAGTTGGAAAGACAACAGGAGCAATGGTGAGGCTTTGCAGCATTGAAAATCAATTACTGTTTAAATATTTTTAACAACTGCTTCTTCTTGTTGTTAAGTAGTATCCTGTGTTCCGACTCATCGAGAGCCTATACAGATAGTGTTTTCGAGGGGCGGCTGGTGGGTTTGAACAACTACTGGTTGTTTCTAAGTGCTGTCGAGTCGGTTCCCACTCAAAGCGACCCTGTATAGGGTTTCGGAGGAACGGCTGACGGATTTGAACCGCCCAACATGCGGTTAGTAGTCCAGTGCTTATCCTACAGCGCCACACCAAAGCAATTGCTTTGTTGTTGTTATGTGCCATGGAGTCGATTCCGACTCATAGCGATCCTGTACAGGGTTTCCGCGGCCGTCAAGTACCAAAAAAGGCAGGTAAGGGTAGGGAGAGAGTTTGGGAGAAAGGGAGCGTCAGATCTACAAGAGACATAATTAGAGGAGGAGAAAGAAATGAAAGCGCTAAAGTATTCCAGAAAACTAGAAAACGCCTCTCCACAGTCCCTCCTCCTTTCCTCAACTCCTCTAGACCCTTACTTGATCTTCCAGAAGCTTGTTCTCTTCGTTCGCCACCGGGATGGCGAACCCATCCTCCCACTGCAGCTCCGCCAAAAATTCACTGCTCATGATGGTAAATGCATAAGGGATCCTAGACTCGGTGCAGCAGAAATATTCGCCTCCTGGAACCGCCTAGCAATCCGAGTTAATCCTACACACCCGCTAAACTCCTCTGTAGTTTACACCGGAGCCCTAGCAACCGTCACGCGCCCTTAGTTACCAAACAGGAAGCACTTATGGTGGCAAGCGGAACTTCGGATTTGAGACCGCCTTCCCTAGAACTCAGGGGAACAGTTTTCTCCTCCTCAGGATCGTAGGGAAGCTAGGCAATTTAACCTTCCCGAGTTTGCTGGAGTACCTAGGCCTAATAGGCTTTACTTTCCGTCAAAGGCAAGGCTCTCAGATTGTGCCTTCTCCCCCCACCTCAGCTCCTACCCCGTGACACCCCACCACCACCACCACTATTGTTGTTGTTAAGTGCCATCAAGTCAGTTCCAACTCATAGCAAGCCTGTATAGAGTTTCAGAGGAGTGGTTGGTGCATTTGAATTGTCCACCTTGATCTCTCAAACTGACCTTGAGACCCAATGCTTATCCTATAGCACCACGCAGGACTCCAGATGGACCAGATGACTTCTGCAAGTCTAGCAAGATCCACTTGAGGTTGGCACAAACAGCACACACGGATAAAAAGCAGCACGTAGCAAACAAGGTTTTATTTAGCTATGCTTCTCAGAAGAGTAAAAGCGGGAGTGAGAGAGAGGTTGGCTTGCTAACCTCAAGGTCAGTAGTTCGAAACTACCACCCGATTTGCTGTAGAAAGATAAGGTTTCTGCTCCCATAAAGGTTTACAGCCTCGGAAATCCCATGCAGGGTCGTTATGAGTTGGAACTGCCTCCACACACACCACTACCACCATAGAGTTTTGGGCTCATTTCCCACAAGAATAATTTTGATTGGTGGCAGGGTCTAAGTAGCATATATTTTGCACCCATTTTAATGGTCTAGCAATTACTCTGTTTCTCAGAAGGTGTGCTGGACTCAGTTTCCAGGAATTGTTGATTCAAGTGCCAGGTGTTGGGGTGCAGTTAGAGTGACTGTTAGATTCCTGCTCTGACCCTAACAGGAGAGAGTAAAATCTGTCCCTGGGCCTGCCCAGAACCACAAAGTACCTAAATGCACTTGAGCTATGTAATAACTAATAAATAATAAAATAGTACATGAATAAATAAGGAGTTTTATTTTCAAGTGATGTTTGATGAGTTATGTATTTACTGCTGGTGATGAACTCGCATAAGTCAAAATAAAGTGGTATTTTGGAACACTTCACTTGGTAGAATTTGTCCTGTATGTTCCCATCTTCACCTGTTTTTCCCTTTGGCTTTCTTCACAGTGCTCATCCGCCCCTTGCAGATATGTGCTACCTGACAGCAAGCTGATATTGCAGAGTCTGTGGAATATTCCCCAGCCACTCTTTCTCTTTGCATTTATTAAGATTTTTTAAAAAATGGATTCACATAAAAATCTGTATTTTTTCATCAGAAAAGATCCACTGAGTCCACAGTGTTGGTTCCAACTCATAGTGATCTGTATAGGGTTTTCTAGGAGTGGCTGTTGGGTTTGAACCTCTGACCTTGTGGTTAAAAGTCCAGTGCTAATCCTACAGCACCAGACCAGAACCCATGTTAATGACATTAATTATTGGCTGAAGAGACACCACTTTGAGAACTAGAACTCATTTCAGCACTTTTATCGATTTCAATTACAGGCAGTGAGTCCCCTGGAGTTCTGGTACATAGGATAAATTCTGCAGTGCAAACTCACCAGTAGCTCCTCAGATACTCTATATAGAGTCCTTATGAATTGGAACCTACTTGAGGGCATATAACAAGACCAACAACAGTTTGTGGCCTATGTACTCTGGGGTTTCATTACTACTATTTCCTCCCTTTTGTTGCTAATTGCCTTCCAGTCTGTTGTTATCCTTAGGCGCTGTGGAGCCGGTTCCAACTCATAGCTACCCTATGCACAACAGAAGGAAACATACCGGGTCCTACAACAGCCTCACAACTATTGTTATGATTGAGCCCTAATTCAAGAAACTCAGCTGCTCTGGGAGCCACCACCTTGGAAGAGACCAAGCGGGGGAAGGATCAGAGCAGCCACGGATGCCTGACAGAACCACGTTGTTGCCACAGTGCCAATCCATCTCTTTGGGGGGTCTTTCTCTTTTTCACTCATCCTCCACTTTACCAATCGTGATATCCTTCTCCAGGGACTGTTATTTCCTGATGGTGGTGGTGGTGGTTATATGCCATTGAGTGGGTTATAACTCACAGCAATCATGTATAGGGTGTCCGCTGGTGTGAATCTTTATAAGAACAGAAAGCCTCATCTTTCTCCATGAAGCAGTTGGTAGTTCAAACTGCTGACCTTGAGGTTAGCAGTTCAGCTCATAACTCACTACACTACTAGAGCTCCTTGGTACCTCCTGAGGTCTGAAGTATTTGAGACCAAGTCTCCCCATTGTGGTTTCTAAGGAGGAGTCTGGCTGTATTTCTTCCAAGACAAATTTGTTGGTTCTTCTAGCAGTCCACTCTACTTTCAATATTCTTTCCCAACACCATGACTCAAACTCATCAATTCTTCCATGCTCTTCTGTATTCCCTGTCCATCTTTCACAAATATATGAAACAATTGAAAATGCCATGCCTTGGGTCAGGTACACCTTTGTCCTCAAACTGACATCTTTGCTCTTGAACACTTTAAAGAGATCTTATGCAGCAGATTTGCCTAATGCAATATGTAATTTGGTTTCTTCACTGCTGCTTCATGTGTGTTGATTGTGGATCCAAGCACTTTGAAGTCTTCGACAACTTCAATTTTTTTCTCCATTTATCATGTTATTCATTGATCCAATGGTGAGGATTTTTGCTTTATTTACATTGACCTGCAACCCATACTGAAGGCTGTATAGTCACTGATCTTCATCAGCAAGCATTTTAACTCCTCTTTGCTTTCAGAAAGCAAGGTTGTATCATCTGCATGTGACCAGTTGTTAATGAGTCTCCCTCCAATCCTGATTTCACATTCTTCTTCATATAATACATTTTCTCAGATTATTTACTCAGCATATGGATTAAATAAATATGAGAAAAGAATACAACCCTGGCACACACCTTTGCTGCTTTTAAGACATTCAGTATCCCCTTGTTATTTCTAAAGACTGTCCCTTGGTCTATGAACAGGTTCCTCATGGGCACAGTTGTTATTAAGTGCTGTCAAGTCAGTTCCAACTCACAGCAGCCCTGTATGGAGTTTTGGTGAGCTTAAACCCCCAACCTTGCAGTTCAAACTGACCTTGCACTCTACTGCATTAACCCACAGTGCCACACCAAGACTCCTGAACACAATTAACTGTTCTAAAATACCTGTTTTTCACAATGTTATCCATAGCTTGTCATGATCCACACAGTTTAAAACCTTTGTGTACTCAATATAAAGCACAAGTAAATATATTTCTGGTATTCAGCCAAGATCAATCTGATATCAGCAATGACAGTACTCTTCTGAATCTAGCTCAAATGTTTGGCAGCTCCATAACAATGTGCTATTGCAGCTATTTTTTAATTATCTGCAGCAAAATATTACTTGCTTGTGATATTAATGATTAACCATCTAATGATTTCCACATTCCATTGTGTCACTTTCTTTGGAATGGGCACGAATACAGATCTCTTACAATTGGTTGCTCAGGTACTTGTTTTCCAAATTGTGTGGCATAGATGAGTCTGTATCTCCAGTGCTGCATCAGTTTTTTGAAATATTTCAATTTGTGATCTGTCTGGTTATAGAGCCTTGCTTTTTGCTAATGCCTGTGCAGTTTGGACTTCTACCTTCAGTCCCATTGGTTCTTAATCTTATGCTACCTCTTAAAATGGTTGAGCACTGACCACTTTTTTTGATACAGTAACTCTGTATATTTCTTCCATCTTCTTTTAATGTTTTCTGCATCAATATTTCATCCTTAGAATCCTTCACTATTTCAACTCAAGACTTGAATTTTTTTCTTCAGTTATTTCAGCTTAAGAAATGCTGAACATGTTCTTCATGGTTGGTCTTCTAACTTCAGGTCTTTGCATTACATTACAATACTTGACTTTGTCTTCTTGAGCTGCCCTTTGAAATTTTATATTCGGCTCTTTTACTCAAATCAACCCCCTGTGTAGGGTTTCTGAGGAGTAGCTGTTGAGTTTGAGCTACCAACCTTGCACTTAACAGCTCAATGTTTAGCCTTCTAAGTCGAATACCTCTTTTTTTTTTT